AAGGCCGTGCGGCGCCAACAGAGAAAGGCGCAAAACAAAGGGCTGAGGGCGCCGCGACCATGTGCAAATCCCACGACGTTCGGCCACCTGACCACAATGGATCACTGGCTTGCGATGGATGACCTATCGCGTGGGCTCCGCGACGAGACCGCGCGCGTGACTTCTCGCGACCAGGCAACCGATTTCATGGCAGCTCAGGGTGTACACGACAAATCAGCGATTCCTGTATGCAATTGTTTGATGAACCTGAAAGCCCCAGGGACGAACTTATAGCACTGTTATACCGACGGTGCTAGGGAGCTCGCCAGAGCTTGTTTCGAGTTTATCATAGCGCATGGCGCTACTTTTCCTGGCGCCAAGAAGCTCATGGCTGTTGCAGAACGATCGCATGGGATTGTTCAAATGGGGGCGCGCGCACTGCTCATGCACGCCCCCTCCCCCCCCCCCACCATTTTGGACGCATGCTGTTTGATATATGTCTTTGCTATACTGCAAGGATTCCTGATAACGGTGAGTCATCATGGAGGTGCAGATTCGGACGCGATGTTGCTGCCCCACTTCTTCCATGTGGTTCTCTCTCATTCGATTCATGAATCGCACCGAGGCTAGGCTTCGGATCGCCAAAACAGGCGGGGCGATGATTTCGGGGATTTCCTTCGGATGTGTGCGTGAGGCGGGGGGCATGGTTGGGCCAGAGAGCTACGTGACACCGATCCGACAACTCGATGGTCTGAACATGGAGACTGGGTGGACGCCAGCTGGCAGACGTCCAATCATCGAGAAATCAGATCATGTTCACAGTGCTTTCTTGGACGGTACAGTACCCGACAAAGAGCCTAGATCCCCTATGCGCGAAGCATGCGATCTTACACAATCTACAGTCAAGAATGTGGCAAGTCCTCCTAGCACGCAGCGTTCCTGGCGGCACAGCCGGTCACGAACCTATGCCTGGAACGCAAGCTTCAATGGGTCCCAGTGCATCTAAACCACCGCCCCGAACACGAGGCGAGGTCGCATCACGACCCAATGAAGATGACTCCGATGACGATGGTCCGGGGGGAATGGTTGTGGATGGCGTGCCTGCGATGCCAGATGGCGGGGGCCCTCAGCGAGATTCTTGTCCAAGTGACGACTCAAAACAAAAGCTTGGTCTTGCCTATGCGGGGCGCAGATTTGATCTAATTTCTCAGTGGCACAGCCGCGATTGAGAACGCCTGGGCCAGGGCACCTTCTGGCTCGCACCACGCAGAACTTAGACGCCATGGAGTATTACGAAGACAAACGCATTGTTGCAGGAGTTTGCAGAGACGAATTGACGGGGAAACTGCCGATAAATGGGAAGCATGACATTTTGCAGAATGCGAGTTGTCTTGCATTACGATCCTGGCCATGTACCCGTAACACGCGTTTGGGTCATTGACCCAGATCCACGCCACGGGGCGCAATGGCTCAAGAGGTTGCCCTGTTCTACAAACCCGGGCATGCACCCCGGTCGGCGGTTTAACGCGAGCCATGCGGAGCGAAGGAAAGCAGTGGAGCAATTCCGAATGGAGAACGGGGATTCTTCGGCATTGTTGATCCGGGGCCCTGTCGAGCTCTTCTTCGTGACATTAGGATCGACGCAGTCGATCTCGAGAATGTGCAAGGAAGACAGACTAATGGTGAATCTCCACAGGGCAATGTTCATTCGGGCATTGAAATGGGACAAAAAAAGCGAAGGGGGGACGATGTGCCAAGGGGCGCCAGCGTTGACTGGCACGCCGTTCTGCACCCTGCGGGAGCCCCAGCGGAATTTTCCACCGACGCTGGCTCCGCGAGTGACCAAGATGCCTCCGACGACGAGGAAGCACGGTGGAACCAGACATGGTACGGAGGGGCTATTTTGAGAGACGGATTCCCTCTTGACACAGTCAGTGAGGACATTCTGTTCTCACAACTGTCTCTGTCTAGCGAGAATAGCCTGACTTCGAGTCCGGCGGCCGTTGCTTAGCGACGCAGCGTTCACCGCGCGCGCGCGCCCCTAGTGCATAGTGAGAAAGACCGAGGCGAGGGCAATTCTCCGCGGCGTCGAAGGCGCGGCACCTGCGCGAATTGCAGGTCGAGCCCCGCGCGGTGGCGCGATTCCCGCGCAACTTGTCAGGGCGCCCCGCGCGAGGGCGCGACGTTAGAATGACTTGCGACGAACTGTCTGGCGGGGGCCGCTGTCGTTGTAGCTCGGGCCCGACGGCGCAGTTTGGCGACGCGGACCTTCTCCCCATAACGAGACGGGGCGCGAGCCCCGAGAATGGGCCTTTCAACGGCGGCAGTGCTATGGCTACCGGAGGGGGGGGGAATAATGATTCTCCAGGAATGGGAACTCCGTGGTTTTAGGATTTGTCTCTTCTGCTTGCTCGCGCGCCATCCAGCGCGTGCACCCCCGGCCCTCGGCGCCCGCCCTCATCATCTTCGGTCGTTTCTTTTTGGGTGTGTGCATTCCTTACCTGTTATGCGCCCTTTAGTGCGACCCCTAGAAGAAGGGGGGAGTGGGCGGGTGAATGGGGGGATATGAAACGCAAGAGAACTTAGCTTGGGGGGGAAGGGGCAGAAATCACATGGCTGAGCCAGACGGGCGTGCGAGGGTTCCGCTCACATCACTTTTCTACCCATGTCTCCTGCTACCGTCTCGGCTCAGTTATTGGAAACAGGTTCAGCGCCGCCTGCCCGCGTCGCATGGGATAAAAGTTTATGAACAAAACAATGCGTGCTTAGGCGGGCACCGCGGAATCGCCTCCGCGCGCGCGAAGCGAGTCAGGGTCGTCGTCGTCGTCGTCCCTCCTCTTCCCTATCTTGTTCTATTGCACCCATCGGTCCACAGCCTATTGGGGTATTGATTCACAGGAAGCATGTCTGATACACCCAGCATGGCCGATTGTACCGGTACGTTAACAGCACCTTCATATCACAGTTTGGCTGGAAGCTATATTTTTTGGGCAAATCACTACGGCCGCTGGGGGGGCTCAGCGGAGTGACGTCCTACACAGATCCTGATGAGACTTCGCCATCCCTGAGGGGTTGCGATCTGCGAAGCTGTCGCCACTTTAGAGGGCTGTTGCGGGGCCCGGCGGAGTGGCATTTTACGTGGATCACCAGGAGACCTCGCCATCCCTGGGGGTTTGCGATCCGCGAATCTGTCGCCTCTTTGGAAAGGCTGCTGGGGGGCCCAGCGGAGTGGCGTCTCACGCGGACCACCAGGAGACTTCGCCACTCGGGGGGTCCAGCGGAGTGTCGCCTTTTTCTGTTACATGTTTTTTTTCAAGTTCTGGGGTCGTCGGGGTCCGTGCATGGGTGCAAGGGTGAATTTCGAGGGGGCAGAAGCGGCGGGCGAGGAACGGCGGAGGAGGAGGAGGAGGAGGAGAAGGTGGAGGAGGAGGACAGGGACAACGAGGTTGAGGAGGAGGAGGACGAGGAGGAAGAGGGGGGGGCGGGGGTGGAGGAGGAGTACCAGGGGGGAGGTCCGGCACGTGGTGCCGCGGCGGCGCCCGCGCTGTTCTTGCACTCGCCAAAAGCACTGTCAACGATGTTCAAGCGCCGCGGCCACATGGCGCAGGCAACGCTGTATCTTTAGCGCGAGGTCGACAACAATAAGACTTCTCCGCCTCTTCCCGTCACTGTCGTGGTCTCCTTCTGCCCCTTGACACCATCCTTCTGTTGCCCGCGCTGACGGTTCGGCCCCCCGCGCGTGTTTTTCTTGTTTTCCTTTCCCTCCTCATATGTTTTCATCAAGCGTGGGCCCTCGGTCCTCGTTTTCTGTTGTGGTCTTGTGAGTGGTGCCACGTGAGCGCGTCACATCTACCTTGCACAACATATGACGGCGCCTGCACGGTCATTGTCCTGGCAAGTTTTGGCCAACCCCTCTTGTCATTTGATGCAAATGGGTTGGGTACGTCACAGGGTAACGGGCACACGTGGGGAAACGGGCGAACAAACCACGTACACACACGGAGGGCATGTGCCAAAACACCCGACGAATGATTAACTATCGAGTGGCTCCCGGCACATCCCGACACCGTGATTGGGTTGCGGGTCGGGGGCCACTCGGATGGCTGATGGGTTTCCCGGGGGCGTTTTGGAAACAGTTTTTGAATGTTTTTGGGGCCCTCTTGGGGGCCTTTGTTTTTTTTTTGCGGCCATATTGGGGTTCTCTGGGGGCCGGTTGGGAGTTAATGGGTGCAACCCGGAGGCGTCTGGGGTGGATGACTCGAAATGTACGTTCGGATTCCCCTTCTGGGCCCCCTTTTGGGTCTGTGTCGGGGCCGTCCTGGGCCGTTTTGGGTGTGTTTTTTGGTCTGTCTTGGGTATTTTGGAGTCGCCTTGAAGCCTTCTTGGGCGAACTTGACGGTTTTTGTCGGCCGTCTGGGACGTTATGACCGCCCAAGAGGCGACGACTGTCCAACAAATGCACGTTTTCCCAAAACGAGTGGGGCGATCTTTGCTTCTGGAGGCTGTCTTGGAGCGCCTATTGAGAGTTTCTTGGGGAGTCTTGGGGACCTTTTGGGCCATCTGAAGGCCAGCGTGGGCGTTGTGGATCGATATTTCAGCTATTCGTGGCCTTCGTGGACTGGCCCAAGGGCCTCTTGGAGCCCTTTTGACATGTTTTGGGGACCTGTGCCCCCCCGAGTGCGTTCACCCGGATCCCGTCCCCCCCCAAAATCGACCGGACCAGGCTCTCGGGGGAGGGGTTTGGGGACGAGGAAACAAGTCACACGCCGATGAACCCCGAGGGGTCGGCGGATTTTTGTTCTATGGCGATACTACAGAGTAGCGGGCGTTACCAGGGGGGGCGGAGGGGCGGTAACGCCGTGTTTCTCGTTGGCACCGTCTGGGAGTCTTCAGGAATAACCAAAGCCAGCCCAGAGGCCAGCACGAATCGTGACGTTACCTGGTGGGAAGGGGGGGGTCGGGCCAGGGCCGGCAACGGCCGTTATTACGAACATGAACGCGCCCGCCAGCCCAACAGACAGGAGAAGGCCGCGGCCCTGGTGCCGAGCGTCGCCGCACTGCTGGGGGACCCGGAGCCCGGCGCCAGGGCCGCTGCGGCGCTGGCCCTCGGCGGGATCGGCGGCCCCGCCAAGGAGAGGTCGCCGCCGCCGCCGCCGTCGTCATTGTCGTCACCGCTGCCGCTGCCGCCGTCGTCATTCCGAGGAAGTATCCATACCGCTGCAGTTCTATCGTTTTCCCGCTTTTTGGAGCCTCCTGGGAGGCCCTCGTCGCTATTGTTGGATTCGCTTCGAAACTCCGGTCAGAATGCATCCCGGGAGAGGTCCAGGGAGTAGCGGTACCGTTACTTCCTGGTTTCTCCGGTCATTGGGCGACGATTGGCAGAGGTTGGCAATGGATTAGGATCGACGAAGTGAGGACGGCAGAACCGGAATGTATCGGAGGCCCGCGCGGGTATCTTGGATCGGCGTTGTGCCCCCTGACGGCGCCTCGGACGCCACCCCTGGCGCGCTTCGCGCGCCAAACGGGGGGTCCGCTAATGAATTTAGGGTCGCAAATCCTCCACTAAATCCGCGCGGACCTTCGAGATTTGTCGCCAATGAATTTGTTGGTGCCCCGAATGGGGCGACGATCGGGAAAGAGCGCCAGTGGATTACCCGGTAGTTGTGGAGGGGGGGGCGGGGGTTCTCGAACCTCCCCCCCTCCTCCCCCCCTATTCCTCGATCCGCCGTTCGGACCCCGCCGCCTCCCCCCCTTGAAGGGGGGGGGGGTCACCCCCCCCCTCCGCCCCCCCTTGGCGCTGGAGAAGGGGGGAGGGGTCCCCCCCCCTGCTTTGCGCCAGACGAGGAGCTGGAGAGCGGGGAGACGCAGGGGAGAGAGGGAAGGATGTGGGGAAAGGGGGGGAGGGACTCGGGGTGGATTTCTGGCGAACCGACCTTCACATATGAAAGTGGCTCTCGCCGGCGTTGCGTCTCTGAACCTCCAGCGATGTCCGATCTTCGGGTTTCGGCGCTTTGGGATTACGGCTTAGGGCTTAGGGTTCAGGGTTTTAGGGTTCGGGGCTTAGGGGTTAGAATTCGAAGCTTAGTCGGGGCTTAGGGCTTAGGGTTGGGGCTTAGGGCTTAGGGCTTAGGGTTCAGGGCTTGAGAGTTTAGGGTTTTAGGGTTCGGGACTTAGGCCTTAGGGTTCGGGGCTTAGGGTTCGGGACTATGGGGGTAGGGTTTGGGACTTATGGCTTAGGGCTTAGGGCTTCGGGTTCAGGGCTTTAGGGTTCGGGGCTTAGGGGTTAGGGTTCGGGGCTTAGGGCTTAGGGCTTGGGGCTCAGGGTTCGGGGCTCAGGGATTAGGGCTTAGGCCTTAGGGCTTTAGGGTTCGGGGCTTAGGGATTGGGGCTTAGGGCTTCGGGTTCAGAGCTTTAGGTTTCGGGGCTTAGTGGCTAGGGTTCGGGGCTTAGGTCCGGGTTCATGGCTTTAAGTTTCGGGGCTTAGGGCTTAGGGTTCGGGGCTTATGTCTTAGGGCTTAGGGTTTAGGGGTTAGGGTTCGGGGCTTAGGGATTAGGGCTTAGGGCTTAGGGGTTAGGGTTCGGGGCTCAGGGCTTGAGGCATAGGGGTTAGGGTTCAGGGCTTAGGGCTTAGGTCTGAGGGGTGAGGGCTTAGGGTTCAGTGCTCCGGGCTTAGGGGTTAGGGGTTATGGTTTAGGGTTTGGGTGTCAGGGCCTGGGTTTAGGGGTCAGGGTTGAAGGCTTCGGTCGTAGGACTTGGGGCTTGGGATTTCGGGGTGGCTTACGCGGAGTTCCCGTGCTAGTGTTTCGGCGGTTTGGTTCCGGAGCCAACGGGAACGACAAGGGGGGCGGGTCCCAGTCTGAGTCCAAAAGGGGGGGGAGGGGGTTGAACCCCCCCTTTCTGAAAGGGGGGGGGTCCGCGGCGATGGATCGGGAAGGGGGGGGGGGAGGGGGGGGTTCCTGGACGGCGGATCGGGGAAAGGGAGGGGGGGGGAGGGGTTCCGACCCCCTCCCCCTTCTGGGTAATCCAGTGGCGCGCCCTCGACGATTGGTACAAGTTGGTCATTGACCAGGTACGGTGGGCAGATCTCAAATAATGCTGGTTGAGGCAGCGCTTCTGACTTCAGATCTGGGCTAGCGCGCCTTGCCTGCAGGCTGGTTCCCACAAACCTCAGGGTAAGCAGAGTCACGAACGAACGGACGTCGCCGCCGCCGCCGTCGCCGTCGCCGTCGTCGTCTTCGTTATCGTCCTCGTCCTCGTCGTCGTCATTGTCGCCACCGTTGCCACCGTTGTCGCCACTGTCGTCGTCGTCGCCGTCGTCGTCGTCGTTGTCGTCGCAACCATCATCAGCATCAGCATCAGCATCATCATCAGCATCATCATCGTCATTGTCGTCGTCGTCATCCTTATCATCGCCATCATCATTATCATCGCCATCATCATCATCATCATCATCATCATCATCATCATCATCATCATCATCATCATCATCATCATCATCATCATCATCATCATCATCATCAGCAATATTATCGGTGCGGTTAGGCCTCTGGCAGGCTTCCACGTCGATCTTCCTTGACAAATACGCACCCCAGGAGAGGTTCGGGGCCCGATTTCTTTACAACGGGGTTATCATCGTCGTCGTGGTTGTCGTCACTTCCGCCGCCGCCGAATCCCCCCCGTTGTCGTCGTCGTCGTCGTCGTCGTCGTCGTCGTCGTTGTCGGTGTGTCGCTTTGTCGATTTGTCGATTTGTTGAGCTTCGAGAAGTGATGTTTGTGACGTCGTACTCCGTACGGCCTTTTTGTGCTCCCGGGAGTCTTCTCGTTGCTACGGCAAGGTCCCCCTCTACCTTTTAGCAAAAACACCCCAGTAGAGGTGGGCCGATGTTTTCAGAAGGGGTCATCGTCGTCGTTGTCATCGCCGTTGCCGCTACCGTCGTCGTCGTCGTCGTCGTCGTCGTCGTCGTCGTTTTCGTCGTTGCCGTTGTTCTCGTCGATCGTTTCAGAATCGCGGATTCTTTTGTTCTGACGTCGTACGGCTTTTGTGTTTTTTGGGGGCCTTCTCGTCGCCACGGCCGCGTTGCTTGACCTCGTAGATTTTCTCTGACAGCAACGCCCCCGCTCGAGCGGCGTGGGTTTGCTTCCAAGTCCCCGTTCTTGAAGTCTTTACTACGATGACACCGTCTCGCGCTTGGTACTGCCTCGCATGATTTCCAACCCTTCTGTGTTGGTTTCTCGTTTTGGATAGAGCACTGCGGTCGTACCTTTTCCCACCCCCTCCTCTTTCCTGCCTCCTACCCCCTCCTCCTTCCTGCCTACCTGCTTCCTGTTTCCGCCCTCCTGCCTCCTACCTCTTCCTCCCTCCTACTTCTTCGCGGGCTCCTGGGAGGCACGGCGGAGTAGCGGTGTACGCGCACCCAGACCGGACCTCGCAGCTCCTTGGGTGTTGCGAACTGCGGAATTGGCGCCACTGTCGTGGGCTCCTGGAAGGATTAGCGGAGTCGGGGAGTACGCAGATCCAGACGAGACCTCGCAGCTCCTCGGGTGGTTGCGAACTGCGCAACTGTCGCCATTTTCGTAGGCTGCTAGGAGGCACGGCAGAGTAGCGGTGAACACGCACCCAGAAGAGAACGCGCAGCTCCTTGGGTGATTGCCAATTGCGCAACTGTCGCCATTTTCGTAGGCTCCTGGAAGGCACGGCGGAGTAGCGGAGTACGCGCACGCAGATGGGATTTCGCAGCTCTTGTGTTGAGAACTGAGCAACTGGCGCCAGTGTCGTGGGCTCCTAGGAGGCACGGCGGAGTAGGGGAGTACGTGCACCCAGATGGGATTTCGGAGCTCCCTCGGCGGCTGCGAACTTCGCAATTGTCGCCACGTTCGTGGGCTCTTACCGGCTTGGGAATTCAGATTTTTGAATGCATGGGCACTTCCTGCTAGATTGTGGACGTCGCCTTCGAGCGCCTGACGGCCAGCGCCGGTCCAGGCACCCAGTGCCGCGCCCCCCCCAGCATATCTGGGCATTATCCGTCGTCTTGTTCTTCGTCGTCTCCTTCTTCCAGTACTTGCCGTGCTTCATCGCGACTTCCAGCACTTTCAATTGCTCATCTCCTTCCTCACGATTCTTTTGAACAGCTATTACGCGAACCGCAAGCGGACGCTCCTATCCAAATCCATCTGCAAAATTTACTCCGCCGAACGCTGAGTCCCTGTACATCCTCATCTGCTGTGACACCCCCGCGCGTTCCCGCTCCTGGAGCTCCCTCCTCCCCTGCAGGGAGCCCACTTCTTGGCGAAGTCTCCGTGGTCACATGGGACAGCCAGGCCATCTTCGCCGCTGACCAGGGCCGGTATCGCCGGAAGGCTCACTACGTGAGGCAGCTCATGGGCACCCATGGCATCGGCCTGTGGGCAGAGACCCACGGCTCGACGGGCGGGAACGATATTTGAAGAAATCTTTCTGGCTGCCCATCTTGGTGGTCCCCAGGCCCCACACCTGCCCTGGCCGGGGTCGGCGTCACAGTGAAGAGTACGTTCCTGAAGCAGTTCGCTGAACGACCTCGTTGGCACGTCGTTGTGACTGGTCGGGCCGCCGCGCTTCGCCTGCGGGGACAGTTGTGTATTTTCACACGGGCACCACAATCTGCCAGCATGACGTTGAGGCCGCGGGCTTGTCACACGTGGGCCGCGCACCCACATTTGTCGAATTCCGCAGCGCTCTCTGGCAGCGCCTCTCCCAGCACATCGTTCCGAAGGACCAGACGCTCACCATCCTCGGGGGCGATTTCGATTACGTCCTGGAGGCCTGCGACAGATGATGCTCTAATATGACTGCCATCACAGGCGGGCGGGGTCGAGGATAGGAGACGCATTGGCACTGGCACGAGGAGCTCCCGCATGGGCTTTACGAGCTCCACCAACCAGACATGATCATGACTTATGCATCTCCCAACTCCCAGTCGCGACTGGACCAGATTTGTAGCAACCAGTCTGTGGTGGAGGGTTTTGACAGGAAGCTAACATGCGCTCCCTTGGAGTGGCAGCTAGAACTCTCCAGGTATCGAGCCGTGAGCTTTCGACGCACCCTTGCACGACGCGAGCCTGCCGCTGCAGCACCTCGCCCTGATCAGACTGTGTACGACCCGGAGTGGCCCCCAAAGGTTGCACTGGTTTGGAGCGAATTGCTAGCAGCCGAGGCTGACCCCCTCTCCGTCGGTTGGTGGTCCTCAAGCAGCGATGCGTCAGGCAGCCAAGAACATGTACATCGTGACATCGTGACATCCCTCTCGAAAGACCCGCTCTCGCACGAGGACCGCCTCGGGATTACCATGAAGCTGCTTCGCGCCTCGGAGAGAGGGTCCGCGACGGGGGTTAGCCAGCGCACCACCAAATACCTCTTCCTGAAGGACCTCGTGGACAACCCCTACGACTTCTCCACCAGTCCCGGGCGTCGTCTTCGACTCGTTCGCATCCATGCTATCGACGCTGCCCGCGACCGCGCCCTGGACGAGCTGAGGACCTCACTGATGCGCAAGCCGCGCGGCGGCGGCAACAAAATCACCGCCTCGTCACGCGCCTGGCCCCTGATCGCGGGTGCTGCCAGTGAGCGCATAGTGATAGCACGGGGCACCTTAGCACATCTCCAGAACATGTTGCCCGAGTGTTTCGTGATCGTAGATCCCGAGTGTTCTGTCGACGGGACACGGATCGTGCCCTTCGCCGCGCGTGGCTCGCAGACGAGTCCCATCGCGCTTCCCCTGCGGATGCCCAGCATCTCCCGGCTGACGTCGTGCCGTTTGAGTTTTTCGAGCGGGCGGTCCGCATGACGAAAAACAGCTCCCCAGGCCCAGATGGCATCCCTTTCCGCGCGTTGCGGGCATTGGGCGCATTCGCAAACCAGGCATTTCGCGATGCTTTTCTGTCTATCGCGAGCCCGGGGTTGGGATGGCCCTGGTGCAGTCGGATTGGGGCGCGTTCAACGAGAGTTCCATGGTCTTTCCCTCAAGAAACCTTCTGGCGCGACTCCGGACGGCGTCGGCATCTACAGCCCTTCGAAATGCGGTCGCGCAACATCACCAGTGCAGACAATAGAAGAATGAGCAGCGCCATCCGCATGTTCTTCGAGCCGTCCGTCGCCCCCGGGATCTCCAAGTTCCAGCGGGGCTTCTTGCAGGGGCGTTCAATGTTTGCCAACCTCCTGGACGGCGAGGAGGTCATGCTCCACCACCAGCTCACTTACGACTCCTCTGCGATCGTCTTTTTCGATTCCGAGGCCGCGCCCCCGAGCGCGAGCCAAGAGTTCCTCCTCGAGGTGATCGAGGCCCGGGGGTGGCCACCATAGTGCATCAATGTTGTTAAGGCCTGGTAGTGGAATAGCCGATGCAGGATCGCACATTCGGGCGCCGCCTGCGACGGCTTCGAGCTGACCGCGGGGGTCCGGCAGGGGTGCCCGCTCTCTCCGATCCTGTCCGCTGTCCTCTCGGACGTGCTTTTCCGGAGGCTCCCGAGATTGCTACCTGATGCGCTCCTGCGCGCCTGCGCCGACGACCTGGCCGTTGCCCTCGTCCGCGGGGTGGAGGACGTTCCGATTCCGGAGCAGCTTTCGACAAATGTGAACGACTTTCTTGTCTTCGGCTGCGCCGCAGCTGCGCCGACGCGGAGAGTGACTTCACAATTCGCAAGCATGCGACGTACTTGGGTGTCGTAGTGTGCCCAGAGCGCGCAGAACACTCGCGGACGAAACCGCTTGAGAAATTTGTGTCGCGTGCCAAGGTCTGGAAGGGCATCGGCTGCGGCATGCCATTGGCTCAATTTGCATATCGGATTTGCATGTTCCCGGTGCTCTACTTCGTCATGCAGTTGGATCGATTGCCGTCGACGTGGGCCGCCGTCGAGCAGCAGGCTTGCACTCTCCTGTTTCCTGGCCTTTGGTTTTGGACAACAGCTGCGGCCCTCCGCTGCCTGCGGATAGTGGGATTTCCATCTGAGCTGCCCGACGCCCGCAGCACGGCCCTCGCAGCCAAATGGCGTGTCCACCGATGGAAAAACAGTGCACGCGGTGGTCTACGCGTGCGACGTCGTCGCCAGGCCCCGGGCACGGTCCGCGGGAATTCCAACCAGGTTGTGCACATAGGTGTCTAGCGGGACTGATGCGACCACAGTTTCTTCACGAACTTCGAGGATGCACATTTGCGTTTGCTACAGAACGCTGCCGAAGCCGGCTTAACGGCCGAGGCGCTGGTGCAAGGTGACGTGGCTGAGCCGACGCCGCGGACGGGCTGGCAAAAACGGTGCCGGGTGTTGCTGACCGACCCGCGCCCTGAGGAAGCGACCCGCCACCTCAACCGTTGCCTCTCTCGCCTCCCCCTCCCTCTTCTCCCGGGCCGCCGCCTCGAGCGCGCGAAGCTTGAGCTCCGCGGCTTGGTACGCCTGGTGCCCTCCGCGGGTGTGGGCATCGGCCCACAGGACTCTCTGCAACAGCTGGGCTTCGGGCCGCCGCATTCAGAGACCCGCGCCGTGCCCGCGCGGATGCGGACAGGGAAGGGACAGCATGCACCATTATACGCATTGTCACCAGATTTCGGAGTTCGGGCGCACTCGGTTGGAGTTGGTTGTCGCGCCTCCCGCGGAGAGGGACACAAAGTTTCTGCTCCTCGCGCCCCGTTTTTCGGACGCCTCGGCAAGTGCTCTCCCGCGCCGTGCGTTGGCCGTGTACTGTGTTATTCGGCCTCCAACGCAGCGCGCCACGGGACGACCTCCACTGCGTGGGGGGCTTTCTGGCAGTATGCAAGGGAGGCGTGCGCAGCGCACCCAGGCCTCGCAGCCATTGTGGCCGTTGTGCGGCATATATAGTTGTCCCCTCTCCCTCCCCTCTCTCCACCTCCTCCTCCTCCTCCTCCTCCTCCTCCTCCTCCTCCTCCTCCTCCTCCTCCTCATCATCATCATCATCATCATCATCATCATCATCATCCTCATCCTCATCCTCATCCTCATCCTCATCCTCATCCTCATTCTCATCCTCCCCCTCCTCCCGTCCTCCTTTCCTTCACGGCAAGTGCTTTACGTGTCTCCCTTCTGCATGGGTACAGGCCGGGAACTTGAATGTTGCTTGACTGGTCCTCCCCGGTATGGGGCCCATCTCGCTTTGTCGTAGCCATTCCTCTCGTTTCTTGCGTGGTGTTGCAGCTTGACATGTTTCACGTTCCCGTCAGCGACGATGCATCGCCGTGGAAGCCCGCCGCCGCGGTCATGAGGACGCCCTGACTGGCAGGATACGGGCGATGACCAGCGTGGCTTGAGCGCTGCTCCTGGTGTTACGTCGCCCAGTACATCCAACATCGCATCTATAATGTGGTGGCATTGGCTTGGCCGGAGCTTCCCACAGCTTGCGTGGCCCTTCATTCGGGAGTTTGCATGCAACACGGAGGTAACATTGCGCTAGCAATTTACCCATTGCTCAGGAAGAAGAGTATGCGGTGCCCTTTGGTTGGCAGTTCAGTTGCTTTGGTGTAGACACAAGGAAAACCTAAAACCTTCGTGGGCTGTTGGGAGGCACGGCGGAGTAGCGGAGTACGCGCACTTGGGCGGCACCTCGCAGGTCCGTGGCTGGCTGCGAGCTGCGCAACTAGTGCCACTATCGTGGGCTCCTGGGGCGCACGGCGGAGTAGCGGAGTACATGCACCCAGGTGGGATTCGGCAATTCTTCGGGTGGCTGCGAAATGCGCAGCTGTCGCCACTTTAGTGGGCTCCTGGGAGGCACGGCGGAGTAGGGGAGTTCGCGCACCCAGATGGGACCTCGCAGCGCCCTGGGTGGTTGGGAACCGCGCAGCCGTCGCCACTTTCGTGGGCTCTTGGTAGGCACGGCTGAGTAGCGGAGCGCGCGCACCCAGGCGGGATTCTGCAGATTCCTGAGTAGCAGCTTCACCCAGGCGGGATTCTGCGAATTGCGCAATTGTCGCCGCTTTCGAGGGTTCCTGGGAGGCACTGCGGAATAGCGGAGTACGCGAAACCAGACGGGATTTTGCAGTTCCTTGGGGGAATGCACATTGCGCAATTGTCGCCACGTTCGTGGGTTCTTGGGAGGCACGGCGGAATCGGGGAGTACGCGGATTCAGTTGGGACTTCGATGCTCTGTGGGGTATTGCGAATTGAGCAATTGTCGCAGTTTTCATTGGTTCTTGGGAGGCACGGCGGAGTAGGGGAGTATGCGCACCCAGACGACAACTCGTTGTTCCCTGGGTGGCTGCGAACTGTGCAACTGGCGCCACTGCCGTGGGCTCTAGGGAGGCACGGCGGAGCAGGGGAGCACGCGCACACAGCAGAGATCTTGCAGCTCCTTAGGTGGCTGCGATCTGAGCAACTGCCGCCACTATCGAGACATCTTCGCAATTCGCTCAAGTTGGTGAGTTGCCCGTGTGCGCTATAGCTCGCATGACGGCAATGGTGGCGCGGTGCGCACACAGCGTTCATTGCTGAATGTGCTTCTCCCAGGTGCTGGTATGACAGGAAAACCCGAAGAAGGGGGATGGTTCATTGACTTAGCGGGCGGGCGGGAACAAGGGAGAGAGATAAACGCATGATGTCACATAAGCTTGCAATCTCATGATAGCACGGTGGTCGTCGTCGCTGTCGCAGCCCATGCGGTCGGAGGAGAGGGCCGCGGATGTCGCGAGCTTGTTGTTGGACGTCTCCGAGGACGCGCATCCGACGAGGAGGAGCAGGAGGAGCGAGGTCTTCCACGGTTGCGGCCCGGCCCGTCTTGGGCCCCCCGTGGCCTCAGATTCAGGCTTCTTTTGCCCTTCTTGGACTTTCTGGCCCTTCGTTGGCCTTTTCTGTCCATTCCGGGCCCCTCATGGTCGCCCATTCCCGTAGCCATTTTGGCGCAAGCCATTTTGGCTCAAGGCCTCTTGGCTCAAGGCCTGCTGGCGCGTCGGGTAATCCACGCGCGCGGCTGCACGCCCCTTTGCACTCCCCCACATGCACTGGCGCGCCGCCATGGTGGCTTGCCGGCACGCTGGGCTGCCGGCCGCGGTGACGGCAGCCTTGCTCACGGTCGCCCTCGCAGTGTTGCCTCCCGGAGCAGACCGCCCGCCCGCGGCCTTCGGTCTGCGCGTGTTGCCACCCGACGCCCCCGACGGCGAGCGGCAGGTTGCGGCTGCGGCCTTTCCTTGCCTCGCCTGCTCCGCCCTCGGGCAGGAGGTGCACGCGATCCCGGAGGAGAACTTCATGGATCGGTACTCCAGCTTCGGCGTGCTGCATCCCGTCTCGAGCGTCAGTCTGATGGATCTGCGCAGCCTTGTGGCGGCCCGGGCTATGCCAAGGGGCGGCTTCAGGGTACGCTCAGCTGCACGGAGGCCGTGCGCTCCATGGAGGCCGGGTGCTACGGACTGGGCCGCCTCCAGGAGTGCGCGGGCCAGGCGATGAAGTCGGGCCTCGCGTCCGACGTGGTGGCCATCCCGGACCGCGTGCGGCTGGCGGTCTTCTTCTTTGCTGCGTGCGGCAGCGAGTGGCAGTTCCACGTGGGCGTGGGCCACCTGCACCTCTTCGGCGCGATCCACGATATCTACTTGGTCAACGTGCTGCTCTTCATCCCCAAGCTGGTGAGCAGCCTCTTTAACAACTCGGGGTCGCCGGAGGACCCTTTCATCTACTGCAGCAGGTGTCTGGTGTTTGGTGGCCACGCTCAGTGCGCGCTCGGGCGCCCTCTGGAGTCATGGACGACAGCGGCGGCTGGGGGCCCGTCGGCTGGCGGCTGTTCCTGCAGCGGATGCCCCACGTGTATCCGCGCGAGTGTGAAGGGCCCAACCTGGCAGGCGAGACGAGCCCGTTCGACGCCTACGACTCGGACCTGGGCTACGGCCAGAACCTCACGGTCGGCGTCCGGGAGCCCGTGGGGCTGGCGCAGCGGGACATGGACACGTACCTCAGCGAGGTCCTGCTTCTGAGGGCGACGCGGTGTCGTGAGGGATCTAAAGACCGCTTTGGGCATTCGTGCCCCCTTGGCCTCCTCTTCCTCTCTGCCTCCCCCTCGCGTGGCTGTGATTTGCATGTTTTTGAGATTTGGGTGCCGACGACTGGGCACAAAGTCGTCTGCCTTGGCACCCTGTTGATTGCGATCGTGGGCTTGTCCATCGTAGCCTCTTTTTGCTTGCCTTCTCTGATCGCGATCGTCTGCCTCCCGATCGCCGCCTTTTCTCGTTTGCTTGCCCGCGCCCCCGCGCGCGGTGAAGGGCAGCGGCGCCGCTTCGTCGTGCGAACTGCCCGCGGGGACGACCTTGACGGCTGCTATTGGTCTGACCTCGGTGGCAGCGCTCAGGACGACTTCGACGATCCGACCGGCGATCAGGACGACGTCGACGATCAGACTGGACCTTCTGAGGCGACTTCGGCGGCCCCCCTGACCCCCGCGCCCGAGGCGGCCCCGGCGGCCCCTGACGCGTCGTTCGGCGGTTCGGCGGACCACCCCCGACGCCCCCACCTGGCCGGCGGCCCACCCCCTGGGGCGGAGGCGGTTCGTGAGCTTGGGGAGGTCTCGGAGGTGCGGGAGGGCCTAGATCCTAGTCTGCCCGGTCTGCTCGCGGGCGGTGCTGGGAACGCTAAGGCGTCTCGACGACGACGCGGTAACGACGGCCTCTGGGAAGCGGTCGCTGCTCTCGCCACTCAGGTGCAGGCCTTGACTGAGGCTCAGCAGCGGGGTGGCGCACCCCGCACGGGCGCGCCTCGCAGTAGGTCTCGTCGGCGGCGTCGGGCCCACGACCGCTCTGCTGCCTTCCCGTCGGATCGCGCTGGGAACCGATCGGTGGGGGCGGCTCCAGATGGAGGGGGACTGTGGCCCACCCTGGCCCCGCTCCTCCAGGCCATGCTTGATTCGGCTGAAGCGCCTTCCGACGAGATGCTCGCGTCCCTCGCGACGCAACTTGCCACGGCGTTGGCCGCTTAGAGTTTGTCTGCCCCTCCCAGGCCCTCGGGGCCTGCTGGCCGGCGCGGTGGGGGAGGGGGGGGGCCCTGGCGCCGCGCCCAAACCTACCCTTGGCAACAAGTCTGGGAGCGACCCGGCCCCTCCGCTGCCCAGACCGTCCCGCGCGTCTGGGCGGATCTCTTCCGCCAGAGGGGGGCGGCTGCCTCGCCCCCGCCTTCCCAGGAGGCTCACCAGGCTAAGGCCCTCTGGGAGCCGGCGTGGCAGGGCGCTCGGGTGGTCTCGGCCTCCCGGGTTGGCACGGCGGACCCCGCCGTTCCTCTCGTCGTCGTCGCGTCCTCCGCGCAGGAACTGGCGGAGGCTCGGGACTGGGTGGGTCTCGGCGTGCGCCCGGGAGTCGGGGACGACCCTGGTTTGGGTTCACTCGGGTGGTACTTCTCGGGTCCTCGTCCGGGGGAGGCTCGGCCCCTTGCCTGTTTCTGCTACGGTCGAGCAGCACGGAAGCACCCCCCCACGGTGCTCGGTCGGCGCGCCGACCGCGAACGACGACATCGCTGCGCCTCAGGAGGGCGAGACCCGCCGCCTCCGCCTCACGGTGGCGCGCGAGTGCGCCGGTGCGGAGTTTTTGGGGCAGGTGGCTAAGGCGCCCGCCTCTTTGCCAGCCGCGGCCCTCCCTAAGGCGCTCCGCCCCTTGGTCCTCCGGACCACGGCGACGGTCAGCTACCCGGACAAGGCCGCGACGCTGCTGACGGTCAAGCGGGGGGACTGCGACCAGTTCCTTTCCATGTCTCCCACCCCTGGCGTGTTCGTGGGGCTCCATAGGGCAGGCCCCGAGGCGGCCTCGGCGCCGAGATGGCTCGCTAGGAAAGACATGTCCGCTAAGGAATTCTTCGACGAAGCCACGGGGATGGCCGCTTTGACTAAGGGCCGGCTGGCGTTTCGGCCTGGTGGGTGGTCCAACTTAGGGGTCTGGGCCCCCCCGGCCAGCGATAAGGCTGCTTTCGTCGCCCGGCGCTGGCACGCCTCAAACGTCCCTGTGGCGTGGACTACCCAGGACGCTGCCGAGTGGGTCCGCGACCGGGGGGCCGCTGAGGTCAACGGCGTGGCCCGCCGAGGTCGCACGGACATCAGCTCCCGGGCTCGGCCTCCGGAGGGCGGGGGGTGGTCCGGAGGCGTCGTCTGTGCCTCATTTATCGCCCTTGCCCCGGCTGCTGCCTCGAAGCAGAAGCGCCCGCCTGCCGCCGCCACTCGACAGCAAGAGTTGCTCGTTGGGTGGCCCGATACAGCGGTGCAGAATTATCCCGAGCTCGTTGTGTTAAACGTCGTGTCAGCAATTCAGATGGCCATGGTATCTGCGTCATCAGTTCGAAATTCCTGGTGGGGGCGACCTGTTGGCAATCGGCAAACCCAAGCAGGCTATGTTCTGCCAGAAAAATACGGGACCGGGAAATTGAAAATTGTGCCGATGTGTCTCAACATCAGGAATCGCGACACCGAACACCCCTACTTTGAAGTACCCAGTCCAGATGAAATGGTTACGTCGACCTTCGGCCTTGTAGACCCAGGCTCCAAACGTTGCCTTCAGGATCCAGCATGTTGACCCAGATCAGAAGCCGAATTGCGCCCTCCGCCAGCACTCAGTGTCCATATCAGTGGGAGGCAACGCGGTTTACGAGGTCAGGATCCCCGTTGTTATTAACATCATGGTTGCGAACGTTGGAGACGCCCTCGCGCTTCCCAAGACCAAAGCCCCGCCTACTGACAAGAAGATGACCCCTCTGAAGCTCAATGTCTCCACGGACAAGAAAGCGCGCACCGGCATCTAGGTAGGCACAGGCGCATCGACATCGATCATGGAGTTGTGGGTGCCTATGGAGTTTTGGCCGTGCGAGAAAAGATACAGATCGTATAGGCTCGTGTGTCGCAGGGGGAGTAGCTAAATGCCCATGAATTTCCGTGTGTGTTGTTCTTTCGGGGCGTGTTTGGTGTTCCGGAAACCCAGCTTCGCGACGCCGCGTCAATCGACGGTTGCATGTGCATATCAATCGACATCGCGCGTGGCTTGTTGGGCTCAGGGTATAGATGCACCGCCGCGCGCGTCTAGGAACCCGTCGATATCGTGATCCGACATGCCGCAGTAGATGTCAGGGTGGTGCGTGGATAAAATTGTTCGCGTGCGCGCCGCGCACGTGACCCTCGCCAGTCTTCTTGGGAACTGTGAGGAGGTAGATGGCTGTACATTTTTTCACCTCAAGAAGAGCGGCGGTAGCGTTGTGAAGCTTCTTGGGCATCCGCGTTCCAAGGGGGCCAGGCCTCTAGCTAACGCGTCGATTTGCGAGGTGGTGGAGCGTCTTCGCGATGATGCACGCAAGGCTTCATTCGCATGAGCCATGGACACGCTTGGCGCTCATGAAGTGCAGGGCGGTAGCCTGCCACCGCCTGGATCCAGATCACGGGAGAAACGATTCAAAAGAAACCACGATAGGACCTACGGCAACACAGTTACGGCACACGGCCCGACCATGGGCGAAATCCAGGGCATTGCGTTTAAGGTCGTAGTCGACAGGCCTGGCACCCCGTTGTATGTGCAGCTGGACGAGGACCTCGTGGCGCATTTGACAGCGTGCGCCGATTTCGAGAACGTCGGGGGCCGTCCACGGGCAGCATCCGTCCGTCAAGATTCCTCAAGAACTCCAGGTCGACACAACAGAATTTCCTGGGCTGAGCTATTCTTGCGCCAAGAACAGATTCGTGTTGAGGCGTGCCGCCAGCGATGGCAAGG